TGAACCTCCTGTATGTTTTCGGCATTTGCCCATTCATGTTGCTTTCTTAGAAAAATTCATCATCTGATACAAGGTGAAAGATATTGTCTGAAGCTTATTAAAACCCCTAAAAGCAGTGGTGACTATATACTCTAAGAATTAACATGAGAGGCAAACTCATTTAATTTATCTCTGAGAAAAGGACCTGAAACTGTTCTTCAGACTCTTGCTTGAATTCTAGGAACTGACAAAGAGAAGGAGTGGTCATGGTCTTAAGCAGGACAGAAAGAGTAAAGCAAGTAGGTAAAAGGTAATGCATCATATTACTATGAAATTGTGCAGTATAATTCTGTCCAGCCATTTCACAAGTGTTCATAATGATCATATTCTTACGTATTTTCACTTGACCAGTGAATGAACAGAGTCAATGATTAATCTGTCTCAAAGGAAATCTTGAACAAAATTACAATTAAATCACAGAATTGCATTCTTGACACATCGACGTGTTCAATGAAAATTTGGTTTTCTGTCTTCTGTTTCCCTCGGTCTTGATCTTTTCTCCCAATCACTTTTTTATCTCTTCTGTTTTCCTATTCTGCCGAGTTTGTGATATTTTGCCAATTCTTTATCTCCTATGTAGCTTGTCCAATTTGTCATTGTACGATTTCCCGTAACTGCTTCATAGCTTATTCTTTTTTCTTTATTGGTCATATTTTATGTTCCATTTGTTGTGCTTTCATACAGTTTTGAATAGTTTGGGAAGCATACTTTTTTTTTTTTAATTTATGCAATGTTTTCATACCAAATGTACTGGCTTCTTTTGCCTCGTATTCTTTCTTCTATAAAAATGTAGCAGTTCCTTCCTTATCTATAATTTCTCTTCCTTTCCCTCAATTGGATCAGACTTGAAGGACTTAAGTGTATATGTCATTTTCTATAATTTAGGAACATTTCTCAATTTAAAAAGCATACAAGAAGTTGAGGATAATGGCAGTAACTCTAAAGCATGTCTCTCCTGTTCACTTGCCCCTTCAACGTGTCTCTTGCCTACTCTCTCTTGAATAGTAAATCTGTTTTGTACTCCTTTGTCCCCTTACCTCTAGAGATTCTGATTGAGTCACCTTACGGTGGAATTCTGGGCTTTTATATTTTGAAAAAGTTCCCTTGGGAAGTCTGATACGGAATCCTTATTAAGAATGATGCTTTCATATCAGAATCAAAACACAATAAGCTTTCTAACTGTGATGAATAATCCAATAGATTTAATTATGATTTTCTTTCTGTCCCAAACTAAAACTAGATGTTAATTGCCAGAGAAATAGATAAGGATGCCTGTGACAACACAACATTAGTATGATATCAAAGCTTGGAAATTTCGCTGGTAGTGAATAATTTAGTGCTTAAAATATTTAGAAGCTGTAGAATTAAAATTAATTTGTTTTTCCCTAAGTGAATAAAGTCGATTGAGGTTTTACATTTAATTTGTTAAATCAAATTTTATCTTCTTTGGGCTCAGAGGCTAACTGTAAACCAGCATGTACCGATTTTTACTTCCCGTTTCCATCCATTATCTGTCTTGGGCTTTATTACTGAAAACCGTCCTCCCGCAGATCAGACCCTGTAAATACCTCTCCTGATTACAAAATCTTCTCATACAAATGCGACAGACTATTTAATGAGCTATTCTTTCACAAAATTAAAAAACCTGAAGGCTCTGATTTGGGACTCTGTGTAAATGAGATTTAGATCTAACAATTTTAAATTATTGCTTTATTCTTGGCTATTCAATTCTATCTCTTATCTGGGAAATAGAAACAGTAAAACCCTTGTTGATTCTACAATTGGGTTGTAAAAGTCACTGTAGCCATCAGCCATGGAGTAGAAGGGCCAGGATCAAAACTGCATAGCAAGAGGGCTGAGATAAATTCCGAAGCAGCTTTACCTCATAGCGTTATAAGCCACCATCAGGAATTCTTTGATTACTTAAGCACGATTCGGAAGGCATTTAGTCTATCATCGTACTACTCACTGTGGTGTTCCTGGACCGGGAGCATTGACATCCCTGTGAAGCTTGTCAGAAGTAGAGAATTCCAGGCCCTCCACGGGCCCACTGAACCAGAATCGGCAGCTTAACAAGTTCTCTAGGAGATTCTCGTGCACTTGAAAGTCTGAGACATACTGCCAAGGCGCACATCTGATAGGTATGCCACGCATTTTGTCAAAGTGTTACTAATACATAGGGGCACTGGACACCACTGAAGGTACAAATGAGAGTCTTAATCTTTCTCCTCTACTTCCCTGATTTCTGCCTTTTAGGCAAAAAATTCCCATTTCAGTAGTTGTACGTGATTGTCAGATCCATCCAGTTCCCAAATCCTGTAGATTCTGCCTTCACAGTGGATTAGGCTTATCCTTTACCTTCTAGTGCATCATCCCAAGTCCAATTTTACCCAACTACCAGTCTCCCAGAATCCTGTCCTCGTATTTTATCTGCGTCCCCGTCTTAGCATTAGCCTCAACTCTGCCTCAGAATTACCCAGAAACACAGCTCTAGCTCGGACACTCCTGTACTTAAAGCGGAAGTTATTTTCTGTTGCCATTCAAAGAATTGCAAACTCCTCAAGGAAAAACCAAGTCCTCTCTGCCTAGGCCCAAGGTACGCCCAGGACTGCCCCTCTTTCTGAACTCCTACTCTCATACAGTGACACTAAGCCCAGAAACATAGTCCTGATCAGATCGTGGAGAGTGCACATCGTAGGCCTTGCCTTGTGCTTTCCCCTTGCCCCCCTGACCCTCCATGTTTCTCAAATATACCCATTCTTTACATTTCACAGTCCTCCAGAAGAATCTCCTCCTCACCCTTCCACCAAGACCTTCTCTCTTCTGGTACGTCTTTTATGAGCCTCCTGCTTTCTCTATGTAGTACAACAAATTATCCTTCACAACTGTGTCTACCCTCATCAGCGAGATTACATACTGACCAAAACCTAGAATATTGTACTAACGTCTTTGAATCTCTAGGAGGCCCAACTACTGTATTAATACTAATGATACCATGGCAGTGATGAAGCCGAACATTTCCCTTCCTACTTTCCTCCCCCATTTCCTTCATTTATAGATGCATTCATTCACTCAACAAGTACTCACTGAAACCTCCCATGCGCCAGCTATTGTACTAAGCATTAGGGACACAATCATGAATTGGACACATTCTCTGACTTCCGTGAAAGGATGGTATAATAGGAATATAGATATAATTTGTTACGAATGAGTGTATCTCTTACTAAGCGAGTGAGTGTCGTGTGCGACACTGATATGAATGGGTAGAGTGAGATGTAAGTAATGGTGCAAAAGCAACTAATTGCAAGCAAACATCACGTTTACTAGAGCATATCTTATGTACATTTAAGAGAGTACGGGCTGCCTGGATGGCTCAGTCAGTTGAGCGTCTGACTTCAGCTCAGGTCATGGTCTCACTGCTCGTGAGGTCGAGCCCCACGTCGAGGCTCTGTGCTAACAGCTCGGAGCCTGGAGCCTGCTTCAGAGTCTGCCCAGAGTCTGGTTTTTCTCTCTCTCTGCCCCTCCCCTGCTCACACTCTGTCTCTCTTTCACTCTCTAAAAAATAAATAAACATTGAACATTTTTTTTTAAAAAAAGAGGGTATGTTGAGGAAAGCATATGAATAGTTCCATAACTGCACTATTTTATATTCATTTGAGGCACCATATCCTTGGAATAATGGCCTTGTTGTCATTTTTGCTGATTTATTGAGTCTTTTAACTGTTCAAGTTATACTTCCAGAAATTTTTGTATTCAAAATAATACAGAAAAGTAGAAAAAACGGTTTTTGTGTGTGTGGAATAAAACTTAGGAAGATTTGACCCAGTCTCAGAAGACATGCATTCATTCATTTATTCCACAAGTGTGAACTCCGGTTTACTATGTCCTTGGTATTGGCTCAAAAGACAGGGAAATATGAGTATTGTTAGATAATGTGGATCACATATTTCAGGAACATGTTCTGCAGACTGACTTTTTGCTATCCGTGTGTAAGGATTTTTGAGTTCTTTCGATGTAAACATGGTAGAGATCTCAAGTTCTCAGACTATTTCATTTTCTAACCTTCAGATTTAGTAATAGACTATTTTAATTGCCTCAAACATTCTGTATGATCTTTTTCTTAAAGGTCCAGTGCCATTTTTATGTAATGATAAAAAACATTTTGTTTTTAGGTATATCTGGTTGTACTAGTCTCCTTTCTAATGACACTCCTTTGCCGATACTCTTAAAATTTCATTCAGAGTAAAAAGTAGAAGATATTTAAGCTTGACACCATCAATGACTCATAAAAATGTTCTGGTGGCTATAGATTATTTTTAAATTTATCACTGTACCTTAGGGATTTTTTGATAGGCTGCCCCCAAAAGCAATTAATTCTCAGTTTTAGGTGGTTTTATAATGCAAAATACCTTGATGGAAACAGAATTTGAAATAAATTTCCTTTGAATGTACCATTGAATTTGTGTTTAAATATCTCCAGAGGTTTTGTTTTGTTTTGTTTTTTAAAACACTGTGCCTAAACTATGTGTGTTCTTTTTCACCTCTCCTATCGATAGTCATTAAGAAATCCAAATACTTTTTTCCTGTTGAAATTTTACAACACTTCATAGACTGTTAAACATGGAACATCCTTGTGGGGACAAGAAATCGAATTTGCTCTTGAGAAGGTTTCCAACTAATTGATTTGTAGGACATTATAACATCGTCTAGCTGACAAGCTTTACAAATAGAAAAACTGGAGCTGAACTGAGAGGGTGCTTTTTTACTAACACATAAAAGGTGTCTTTCTGTCTTGTAGCCTTTGGATATAGGCATGTCAGTTTCACAGAGAAACTTTCACGTGGAGCTTTTTTATTTCTTTCTCTCCCGGTAGAACTGCATGTGGTAGCACATTGTTAAATCTTTCTCAAACAAAAGGATGTAGGGCTTCATTTTTGTTTTGCCTTTTTGGTATCTTACAGGAACTCCAGGATGGCATCGGGCAGCGGCAAACTGTTGTCAGGATATTGAATGCAACTGGGGAAGAAATAATTCAACAGTCCTCAAAAACAGATGCCAGTATTTTACAAGAAAAACTGGGAAGCCTGAATCTGCGGTGGCAGGAGGTCTGCAAACAGCTGGCAGAGAGGAAAAAGAGGTAGGACGATAGATAAAAATAGGAATTCTAAAATTTTAGCAGAGCTATTTAAGCTGTCTTCTAAAAAAGATTTTGTCAAAGATTGTAACCAGAGTGGGAGGCACCAAGGTTAAGAAGCGCCTCAACACTTAATCAGTAGCAATAATGATTTTTTTTTCTTTTTCTCATATACTGAAACATGTAGCTGTTGCGAGTGAAATAAGCAGTACCTTCCTGCTATTTTAAACTTCCAAATTCGTTGTAAATATCACTCACGGTTGGGGCGCCTGGGTGGCTCAGAAGGTTGAACTTGTGACTTCAGCTCAGGTCATGGTCTCATGGTTTGTGAGTTCAGGCCCCACATCTGGCTCTGTGCTGACAGCTCAGAACCTGGGGCCTGCTTTGGATTCTGTGTCTCCCTCTTTCTCTCCTCCTCCCTGTTCATGCTCTGTCTCCCTGTCTCTCAAACATAAACAAACATTTTTTAAACATTTAACAATAAATAAGTAAATAAATAAATAAATATCACCCGTGGTTGTTCAAATATGAATATCTTCAGTATATTCCAATCTTTTTTAATATTAATTTATTGATTTATTTTTGAGAGAGAGAGAGAGAGAGAGAGAGAGAGAGAGAATATGAATAGGGGAGGTGAACAGAGAAAGCAAGAGAGAATCCCAAGCAGGGTCAGCATGGAGGGCCACATGGGGCTCCAACCATGAACCATGGGATCCTGATTTGAGCCAAAATCAAGAGTTGGATACTTAACCGACTGAGCCACCCACGTGCCCCTGGTATATTCCAATCTTAACAAGCTGAGTTTTATTCATTTTAAAGAAGATGGAGAAAGGAAATTATAAATGACTGTTTTGTAGGAAAGAATGCTATCTGTCTACGCTTTTTAGCAGCTACGAATATGACTATGATGCTAAAAACCAAGATAGTGGTATTTACTTTTTAATTCCACTCCATTTGTTAGTACATGCTTGCAGAGACACTTGGGCCACAATAGTCAAACCCAAAGGGGAAAACAAAACCTCGGAAAGGTTATTGTTGAATTCAGTCACCTTTTAACTTTCTCTTGGAAGGTCCTGAAAGCACAGAAAAGCCAAATGTATGCTGCCACACTTGGAAGGCATACATATTTTTATAAATGGGATTTTGTATTATGTTTCCAGTTGTTGATGTTAATGTTGCCTGTTTCATAAGGGAGGACTTGGCCTTTATTTACCAAATGAGACTATTGTTATGAACAATGAAAACTCAGTTCTGTTGCCAAGCTCTTGCTTCCTACCTATCATCTACATAATAGGTGGATTTTAATATTCAGAAAGCTAGGGCCACACTTTGATGAACGTCTTTGGTGAGGATGTATTAGAAAGGTTTCAGAATTAGGTCCATTGTCTTTGCCCACCTCCTCTTGGAGCCTTTGCTCCTTTTGCATAATTCAGGAAGTAGATAGAATTCATATTCCTTTGCAAAAGGGATGCATTAGTTGACCTACACACACACACACACACACACACACACACACACACACACACACAAATCTTGATAAAGTTTAAAAAGAATAGTACTGTCTAAAAACATGGTTATTTTATATTTTGGTTTAGAAAATATTATAATTTTTATATAGATGGCATAAAATAAAGTTCTAAGCTTTGTGGTTAAACTGCTTCCTTGGGAAAATCATATGCTTTTTCCCCACATTGAAATCTCTCTGTTATACACACTACTATACCATTACTTGACTGATACATTTATGGGAGGAGCAGCTTTAAACCTGTATAATATTGGGGCGCCTGGGTGGCGCAGTCGGTTAAGCGTCCGACTTCAGCCAGGTCACGATCTCGCGGTCCGTGAGTTCGAGCCCCGCGTCGGGCTCTGGGCTGATGGCTCAGAGCCTGGAGCCTGTTTCCGATTCTGTGTCTCCCTCTCTCTCTGCCCCTCCCCCGTTCATGCTCTGTCTCTCTCTGTCCCCAAAATAAATAAACGTTGAAAAAAAATTAAAAAAAAAAAAAAAAAAAACATCCTGTATAATATCATTTCAGAACTAAAGTCAGTCCAGTCTAAAATAAGATGTTAACAAATGAAAATATTAAGGAAAATTGAATAACATGCTCTAAAAACGAATAACTTGAATTCATACAGTAGATTAAATGGATTGGAAGATTATTTTTTATTATATTTAAAGTATTGTTTCTCACTTTGTAGTGTCTCTAGCTCATGTATCATTTAAATATGTTAATATTTTTTCTGGTAACAAGTTTTTAAAAATTCAGTTGAAAAAATGATCTGTTACTGACTTCTAAATGAAAATCAGAACTTTTAAATAAAAATAGGGCAATATGCCTGTTACACTAAATAAGCTCTAAAATTGTAGATCCTTCTAAGTTTATAAGAAAGTAGTATATGCTGACTCTGTGGTGAAATATTACACAAATTGTAGGTTAATTACGGCTAGGGATTTGGCTAATTGGTTAGAAATCGTTCTCCCATTTAACCATTTTGACCTACATTAAATATTGCACTTTTGTGCTTTAAAAAGTCCAGATCAGCTTCCTGGAGTTTTTTTTTTTTTTTTCAATTCAGCTTTTAAAGTTGTCTACTTCACACTACATTTTAAAAATAAATGTTAGCATATTTAAATTTCCACTGAGATCAATTTTGCGGCATACTTCCTGACGATTTTTTATCGCTTAAATTTTGTAAAATGTAAAAAAGTAATAATATAGAAGTGCCTTTTCTACCAATACACTGACAACTATTTCCAAGCACCCAGTAGCAAATAAAGTAAAAAAAAGTAAAAAAAAAAAAAAATTTATAAAGACTACGTTAACCTAACAATTGTGGGAGAGTTGTACTCATGAAGCTATTATTAATCAGTGGCATGCTTTCAGTACAGTCCAAGCAGAAGTTAGCAGGAAATGGAAGTTAGGTATTGCACAGGTGAAAAATAAGATGACTATTCAAGTTCACAATGGCATTCTTAGGTTGCAATGGGCTTTTAAACGCAGCTGTTGGACATATTTCATGTTGCCTAGTTCAGGTACTCATATGAAAGAAAGTATACAATTTAAGCAAAAAAAAAAAAAAGTCTGCAAAAACTATCTGGAGCCTTACAGCTACATAATTGTAAACCCTTCTCTTGAAAATGCAAGATATCAGAAATACGAGCAGAAAATTCCCAGAACAAATTCACATATCAGTGGACGTCCATTGAGGTTAGTGTATTTTGGAATTAAATGAAGTATAGAATACAGTCAATTAAGTATACAATTTAAGATAGAAAATTCACTGTTGCCTCGATTATGTAGCAGAGGAACTGGATAACATCTATAGGTTTAAGCTGGAGAATATAATGAGTTTAACGATGGCTTAACCACCAAAGTGGTCTTTGTAAATGAAGACGCAAATGTAGATTTATCAGCCATAAAGGAAGTCATAGGTTATAACAAAGCAAACCTATAGATGAAGATTCTTAAGCCCAGGTCCATGGGTAGAATTCAAGGGGTGCCATGAGCTTGAATGGGAAAAATAAATACCTCTTTGTTTTTGCTAACCTGTAATGGAAATTGAGCATTCCCTTCCATTTTGAAGGAAGGTAACAAACCAGAGTAATACTAGCAGCACCTGTGAGATCACAGGTGTTTTTTAATATTTCAGTAGCGCTGTTATAGATGTCTCAAAGTATTGTTCATGGTTATCACTCTCCATAGCTACACTAGTTATCATATCTTCCACAAGATCTTATGAATGTGTTAATAAGAAACAAGCCCAAGTATTGCTATATCACAATTTTTTTTTCTAATAGTTTTATAGCTATATTTCAGTACAACTGACTTTCTTCAGAGTTCTGGGTGTGTTATATTCTGGACTTCAAACATTATTCTGAGAGGACTCCCAGGCTTCACCAGATTGCCAGAAGGATCCATGGCATAGGCGAAAAAAAAAGGATCTTATCTGTATCTAGCCAGCTGTTTATCTGCCCAGACCTCATTATCCTGTACTGTGGTTTCAGTCCTTTTGATGGTGGAGTCACTACCTTCCTACACTTTTTTTTTTTTTCCGGAATATTCCAGAAGATGTACCAGTCAAGGGAATGTGGGTAGGCAGGCCTTTAAACAATGGGTAGCTGACAACATAAGGAAATCCATTTCATTTAGAATAATACCAGTTGATAAAAGATGGAATGGAAGAGGGCTGCAAGGTGACGGGAAGTAGAATTTCTAAATGGAGGACTCTCTGAATCATAATCCATAGCAAAAAAAAATGACCTCAAGAATTTATCTCTCTTTTCCCTGTGGACAAATAAGGCATTTTTTCCACCATTGTAGAGATAAGGCAATTATTGTTCTAACAAATACTGAGGAATCAGAGTTTAATTTAAATATCACCTGATGGAATACATTGCCTGAAATCTTTGTTTTTCCAACTTTTTAATGAAAAATTAGAAGCATATAGAAAAATAGAAAAAGGTAGCATAAGGAATACCCATATACCCTCCTCTCCTTCTCCTAAATCCCTAGATTCAGGAGCTAACATCTTGTCATATATGTTTTTTCTCTCTGTCTCCCTACCTCCCCTATATGTGCCTTTATTTAATGTAGGGAATTCTGTCTGTCTCTCTCTCTCTCTCTCTCTCTCTCTCATACACACACACTTTTTTTGTTGTTGTTTTAACATTTGTAAGTTATAAACCCCCTTATACTGAACCCCTTGATACTTCACTATGCATTTCCTTAGAATAATGGCATGCCATCTTGCTTATCATGCTCAAGAAAATTAAAAATACCATATTATCCTGCCCATAACCAAATTGACCCACTGGTTCAAAAATGTCTTTCATATCATTCTTTGAGGTTTTTTTTCATACCAGTGTCCCATGATGTTTTATGTATTGCATTTGGTTTTTTAAGAGAGGGGGAAAAAACTTTTTCTTCTACCCTCTTGGTTTCAGTGTCTGGAAACTCCAAGTTAAATTGACAAAAGACACATTAATAGGAGAAAAGGCATGCACA